GTTAAGCACCGTATGACCAAAATGCCCTTATACGTTATGCAGGGGGGGTGTACCGAAGCAAGGCAGAATGGGAATTGAAGGGGTGTGGCTCTTCAAATCTAATGTTTGGTTGGGGGGACCGGGAATTCGGAAGGAAATGGGCATGGGACTTTTGACTCCAACTCCCACCGTTTTATTAACAGGGGAGGGGTGGGAATTAGAAGGGAATTGCTTTAGTGAGTCGATCTTAGCCCTTCATCATAACTTACGTTAACTTCCCATGTCTAGTGCCTTGCCAATTCCCATGAACCAAATAAGGGAATACAGTTTCTCCTCAAATCTCACATATAATTCCTACTATGTGCCAAACAAAGGTTTGGAAATAAAATGTCTCGTCCCATGTCTAATCTCAATACAACTCCCTACTCTAAACACCCATTCCCCTTCCCAAATATTACCAAACACATCCTTAGGGAATGGGATTTAAAGGGGTACGAGACTTCAAATCTATTGTTTGGTTGGAGGTATTGGGAATTCACAGTGGAATGGGCATGGGACTTGAGACTCCAACTCCGCCTAGTCAGTAGTTTGATGCGGCGTTGTTGATCGTTCAATAGCGGCAGCACCGTACCTTTCTAATCCCCATCCACCTGATGCTTTCTTCTCTAATCCCCATCCACCTAATGCAAAGCAACGCCAACGATGCAAAAGCAGAACAACACAACAACCCCCATGGCACCTTGCGTCGCTGACCTCGCGTCACCAGAGTCGCCGGCGACCGCTGCATCGCAGCTCCAGGAGCCACCGGCTACCACTGCATTGCAGTATCGGGAGCCACCGGGGCGACAAAAAAAGGTTGGACGCAACACCGACGACGCCCCGACGAAGCTTCATTGGAGCTCCAGCGAAGCTTCATTGACACCCCGGTGGAGCTTCATTGCAACATTGCCTGTTGCGATGCAACTCTGTCGCCGGCCATGGCAGCAACTCGGAGCTCTCTACTGCTGCAACGCAGCTTCATCATTGCCATGCAGCAGTGTCGTCGTACCATCGCCTGTTGCAGCGCAGCTCTGTTGCCGGCCATGGCAGCAGCTCGTAGCAGCTCCTGGTCCAACGCAGCTTCGTCGCCGACCATGGCATCAGTGTCCTCTCAGCATAGCCTAGGGCAGCACGAGGTGAGCGATGATTTGGGGTTGCAGCACAGTGCCGCCCCCTAGAAAAACAGGTTTGCAATGGTGATGGTTTGTAGCAGCCGTGCGGCGACGCGAGCGACGGTGGGTTGCAGCAGGGGTGTGGAGCGTTGGAGATGTGGGACAGTCGTTGTAGCAACACGAGCCGTGCCAGCACCGTTCTACAATGACGAGCAATGGTGCTGGTGCGTTTGCTGTGTGCTCGAAGGAAGAAGAAAAGGAGGAAAAGGAAGGGGTGGCTCAAGCTGCTGGAGAAAAGAGATAAGGATGGGCTGAGCGAGCCCGCAGGGGACGCGTGGCATGCGTGAGAGGCGATTTACGCCCATGAGAAATCAGTCGGGTGATTTTGATCATTTTCCTTTATTAACAGGGGAGGGGTGGGAGTTGGATGGGGAATGTTTTAGTGAGTCAATCTTAACTCCTCATCCTAACTTCAATTCCCACGAACCAAATAAGGGAGTACAATTTCTCCTCATATTCTCACACATAATTCCTATCACGCACCAAACAGATAATTGGGAATAAAACGACTCATCTCATGTCTAATTTCAACACAACTCCCTCTTCTAAACTCTCATTCCTTCTCCCAAATATTGCCAAACACGCTGCAAGGGATGAGCCCCTCCTCTCTTTCCGCTCGGGGCTCCCAGTTTTGAAGATCCATCCAACGGATCAAGGAGGATATTCAGTTAGGGATCTTTTTCACTATAGGAAATGGGGAAGGAAGATAGGTGGTGAGCCATTTAAGGCGAGCTTCCCTCCTTTATTTTTTATCTGCGCGAACCTGATTGGAGTAGCTGTTGAACCCTTGAATCGATCCGAAGCGCTTGACACCAGATATTGTCGTTGCCGTGCATGACGAAAAACCTTAACCTCGTCACCCAAGGAGAAGAAATGAATCTACATGAGAGGCTCGTCGACTCCATCCTAACAGACAAACTTGAGAAGGATCAAAGCCTAGAAGACGATCTCAAAGATGAAGCACTGCCCAGTGAGGACTGGGAAATCCTATCCTAAACAAATAGCCAAAGCCGCACCAAGTTTCGCTTCCCTACCACCGGCTGCCGGAGCGGCATGTAGTAGGGACGAATCCACGGGCTAGTCAGAGGAGCCTGGAAGGAACGAGATCTTCACCCAAGCCGCCGACCGCCGTTGAGAGGAAGGAAAAGACGTATGTCTAGGGGGTCTATGTGGTTGTCCAGTCCTCTTTGTTACCTTCTTTTCCGGGAGCTGGGGTCCTTTATGTTCGACCATCGACTTCGTGGCCACCGTGCTAACAATGCTTCTCTGATTCTAGTGGCCCTTTGGAGGTTCAGAGGCGGTATCGAGCTTCACTCATGACGTTTTGCTGGCTGGTGTAGAAGAAAGGTGACATCGATTTCACAATAACTTAAGTATAATTAATTTTTGTAAGGCTGTTTCATGGGGAGACTAGTATAGGATCAACCCTTTAGGTGAGATCGTGGGATCAACCCAAATATTTCGTATTTAGAGAATCCAAAAAAATCTGAAAAAAATGTACAACATACCTGCAGGGTATGTCTACAACTTGAAAAAAATATCAGCTCAAAACTCGGTCTACAGTTAGAGATTCGAAAAAGACAAATTTAACTATGAATACTGTCAGCTTTGGGATGAATAGTATTTGACACTATTCACATCTGATTTTGTCTTTTTTGGTCCTCTAAGTGCAGTTCGAATTAGGATCTGAAACTTTTTGGGCTTGTACATCACACATGAATGTGTGTCTCCAAAATTTTTCAGAAATTTTCAACATGTTTTGTATCTTTAGAAAAATTGATCTCATTGATCTCACCTAATCCTATACAAGTCTTCCCCATTGTTTCATAAGGGTTGACCAACTTTGATACATGGTCTTTGTTTTTTTTAATATATATGTTTGTTCCATCACAATTTAACGAAAACGCCCCACACATGTTTTTTCAGAATGTATATGTGATGTCACACACATGTTGACAGAAATGATTACAGCCTGAATATCGTTACACACATAGCAAAAAAAAAAATGAATATCGTCGCGGGTTATGGGCATTGGGCTGGGCCACAGCCCATTTTCTCGGGTTCCTCCTATAAACGCCGTCGGCTCTTCCCTAGACGAACGGCGCCTGCTTTGCCTGCTTTTCCATTCCCCGGGGGCTTGGGCGCGACCGACGACGGACGAGCAAGCAACAATGCTCCGCCTCTCCCGCTTCCTCCCCTCCACCTCCAGGTCAGCTGCCGCGAAACCCTAAACCCTAACCCTAACCCTCCCCGTCTCCGCTCGGCGCGACCCCCGCCTCGCGCGCGCGCCAAATGGGAGACCCTAGCCGCCGCCGCCGCCGCCGCCGCCGCCGCAGTGCCATTTCCCTGTCCCCGTGTCCCGATTTTGAGGG